CATGGAACTTTGCTTCAGTGCAGACATGTCAAAGGTAGTCCTGTCCGAGCAACAACATGCGGTATTCGATTTCGACCGCGTGGCCACTCTGCGAGCATATGCAACCGCTGCCGCTAAACGAGCTGCAGTCATCACAGAGGACGACCTCCTCACGAAGGCCGACATCCAGGCGAATCCAGTCAAGGCATCTGGAGCCTTATGCACTGAACTCAAGACACGGTTTGACAGCGAGACTTTTACAATGCAAGACAGACCGAAGGTGCCGAACATCATGACTTCGAGATACGTTCATAAGTGGAACTTCGTCAAGAACGAGAAGGGCGAGATATAACGGACCATCAGATTACGCCTAGTATTTCGGGATTTCATGGACCTCGAAGCTTCCGACGCGGAGACTTTCTCCGGGTTGGCGCGGCGGTCAAGTCAGGGGCTACTCGCGAGCGCGGCAGCGCGCAAGAAGCAATGGGTTATTTTTTGCCGTGGGACTAACCCAGCAGGATCTTGCTGAAGAGACCGGTGAAAAGGAACGCGCGGCGTGCTTTACATTGCCGCCTGGATCAGCATCTGCGCTGAGATCCCTCCCAGGATTTGAGCATTACGATGAGTCGAAGCATTGCTTGCAGCGCCTCAAACCAGGCGCCAGCACCCAGGACGCGCCAAGAGCCCTCTCACTGAAGCTCAGAAAAACCACGAGAGGGTTTGGTCTCAGACCCACGTCCTACGACGAGGAGTTCGAGACGAGTTCCAACCTTCCTACATGCAGCCAAGCACGTTGATGATATCAATCTAGGCAGTGCTGAGGACACCATCGACAGTTACGTCAAGTGTGTTGAGGGTATGTTTGGTGGATTTAAGTTCAACAAACACACAGATATCAATTGTGCTGTGAGGTGCACAAAGGATGGGGACGGTGACGTTACACTTGATTCAGACGAATACATAAAACAGCTCCGTCCTGTACACATCCTGAATTCACGGGCGCAGACGCTGACGCCGAGGCATCAATCAGCCTCAAGGGCGCTTGGACTTACGCCTTAATCACACAGGTGTGGTTGATGGTATATGTTGTATCCCTACAGCGTGTCCGAGAACCGACCAACATGCATATGCGACGACTGAACGCGATTACCAGAAAGTTGTAGGCTTGCCCTGAGAAGATCGTCTACCGATCGATGACCCCAACGGGTGAGGTCGACCTGCGCAGCGACTCGGCTACTGGCGTCTTAGTTGAGATGCCGACGACGAGGTCAAGGGCTATGGTATTCGCGGGGCAAACTTGCTACTGCGTGGAAACACGCCTGCTGGTAAGCCTGTCGTCAATCTGACCGGCGCGTTCTACAAGTCTCACGGCTCGCAGGTCCGCTCGAACTATTCAGCGGGCGCACTAGCAGCAGCCCGCAATTTGGAGGACTGCTATCCCACGATCGTCACCCTGCACGAACTCCACGCAGGGCCGCTGACACCCACTCAGTTGAAATACAAGTGGCACGTGTGCCATGGCTCTTGCACAAAAAGGAAGGGGGAGGAGGAGGAGGCGGAGGAGGAGGGGGGAAGAGGGGGCCAGACATCGCAGAAGGAGTGAACAAACAGGGCCGCAAGAGGAGGTTCAGAGTCGCGAAAAATAAAATCGTCGGGGCGGAGGGGGCACTGGGCGCGGTTGGGGAGGCCCCGCTGGGGGGCGCTGGGGACCACTGGGGGGCGCTGGGGAGGTCCCCCACTGGCCCGCACTGGGGGCGCTGGGGACCAATGGGGAGGCGCTGGGGGAGGTCCCACTGGGGGGGGGGGGAGGGGTGCGTCGCGAAAAATAAACGCCGGGGCGGGATCGAGGGCACTGGGCGCGGCGGGGGAGGCCCAACCACTGTGGGGCGCTGGGGACGAATGGGGCTCTGGAGGTCCCACTGGGGGGGAGGGGTGCGTCGCGAAAAAATAAAACCGTCGGGGCGGGAGGGGGCGCTGGGCGCGGCAGGGGATGGGCCCACGGTGGGGGGGGGGGGGGGGGGGGCGCTGGGGCCCACTGGGGGGCGCTGGGGAGGGCCCACTGGGGGGGGAGGGGGGGGAGGGGGGTGGGCGTCGGAAAAATGAATCGTCGGGGCGGGGGGGAACTGGGCGCGGCATGGGGAGGCCCCACTGGGCACCACTGGGGGCGCTGGGGAAGGTCCCACTGGGGGGGGGGGGTGGGCCGTCGCGAAAAATAAAATCGTCGGGGCGGAAGATCGCCCGAAGACGCCTCAGATGGCCCCAAGACAGCCCAAGAGGCCTCCAAGACGCTCCAAGGGCCTTCCAAGAGGCCTCCGAAGAGGGCCCCAAGTTGCCAAAATAGTTGTTTTTCATTTGTTGTTTCGATGTTTTGTTTTGCGTTCTGGCCTTTTCGCTTCCGGACGCTCCAAGAGGGCCCAAGAGGCCTTCAAGACTGCTCCAAGACGGCCCACGAGGCTCTCAAGACGGCCCCGGACCCCCAGACGGCCCAAGTGCCGCCCAAGGCGGACCAAGAGGCCCCAAGACGGGCCCAAGAGGGGCTCAAGAAAGGGAACCGAGAACTGAAAAATCGAGCCCTCCGCCCCAGAAGGCGCCCAGGACCCCGAAAGAGGCCCCAAGAGACTCTCCAAGACACCCCCAAGACGCCCCAATAAGCTCCCGTGAGGCCCCAAGAGGACCAACAACGTCAGGCCCCAGGCCCCAAGAGGACCAACAAATACCGCCAAGAGCCCGCCGAAAGCCCCCCAAGAGACCGTCACGAGAGCTCAGGAGGCCCCCTGGAGGCCTCCCGAGTTCTCCAAGAGGCTTAAAAAGAGGCGCCAAGAGGCCCCAAACGGCCCCAACGAGGCTCCAAGAGGCCACGAACGCGCAAGCAAACGCTTGCGATGGCACAATACGGGCCGGCGGAATGAGCGAAGCGATTAAATAAAGGGGGGGGGGCACTGGGCGCGGCTGGGGAAGCCCCACTGGGGGGCGCTGGGAACCGCTCGGGGGGCGCTGGGGAGGTCCCGCTGGGGGGGGGGAGGCGTGCGTCGCGAAAAATCACATCGTCGGGGCGGAGGGGGTACTTGGCG